GCAGAGGCAGCTGATTTCTGAGTTCAAGGCCAGCCTGGACTACACAGTGAGTTCCAGGACAGCCAGGGTTACACAGAGAGACCTGTCTTATAAAAAAAAAAAAAAAAAGCCCAACAACAACAACAATAGTGAACCTCCCCCTACACACACATACACACACACACACACACACCCTCCCACAAGCTCTGTCTTGACAATGAGCCTTCCTTCAGAAGCTCCAAAAGTCTCCCGCTTATGCCTTGTCTCATAGACAATTCCTAGCAGCTCTTCCTTCCCCTAGTGTGCCCACTGCTCTCCCTGGATAGGTTTGCAGTTTAGGTGGGTTTTTTGTTTTTGTTTTTGGTTTTTTTCAGTCATAAGCCAAAATTCTTTAATTTTTTTCCGACAGCCTAGGACAGAGAGTTCTTCCATACGAGGGCTTGGGCCCATTGTTGAATACATTTCCTCAGTAAAACTTTGTTTCTTCTGTAAATACTTAGTTTGAAACTAAAATAGTAATGTTCTCCACACCAAGAAGAAAAATTGCCAGAACCTTACATGATCTGGGGATGACAGTCTTTTCAACAATTCTCAGGCAACAATTCTTAGGAAAATGGCTTCTGAAGCCTCCCTATTTACATGACCCTTACCTTTTTTCCTGAAATGGTATTTCCTCAGAGAAGTACCATGTGGGTCCTATATGAGCCCTTTCCACAAATCTTCATCAGTTTTTCTTGAACATCAACATCTTTCCTACTAGCTTGTTCCTGGGTGTTAATGCGAAGGATACAGGCCCCTCAAACTGCCTGTTTCCTTCCTGTTCTTTTGATTCTTCTGGAATTTTCTTTGAGGTTGAAAGGGGAAAGCCCAAGAGAAGGCCAAGGAGTTAGGAAAAGCAGGACAGAGGTCAGTGTCCTGTTCCCCAAGTTGGGGGATCCTGAGAGCTAGAGATAAGAAGAAAGGTTTCAGGGAACGCCCTCTCTGGCACAGGCTCATGCTCAGAGTACCCTGACACTCACCTGGGTAGACATCAGTATAGGGTCTTGAACTAGATCTAGGTAGCCAAGCTTAGGAATCTGGAGAGCACTGTCTTGCAGTTGGTCTGAGGGCAGTTGTCAGTTTCAAGCTCTGACAACAGCTGCCTGCCTGGCCTGCCTTCCCCCTGCTCTTTAACCCTCTTTTGCAACATCTGCAGACTAACTCTTGCCTTACTGTCTCAGAGTAGACCAGTCTACTTCTAAAGCTTTGGCTTTAGCATCTTGGTAGGATGAAGGCTTAGAACCTGAAAATTCTAAGGGTGGATGGGCCCAGCTTCTCACACCTTATGCTGTGATTTGGATTTGCAGTTTGCAGCTAGCAGGTTCCAGTGTTCCTATTTATTCTTGAATTTGCCTTGTTTCTATTTTGATTCTTGTAATCCAAATTGCAGTTTAGTGTTTCCACGGAAACAATTCAGTGATTGTTTGGTGTGCCAAGATGAACTGCGGGGGAGGGAGCTGCATGACATCAAACATTTTAAAAAGTTTCTCAGACATGACCAGGGTCAACTGTCACACATCATGAATGCCTTTGGATCCTGAAAACCTTTAGTTTTATTAAATGCTATATTCTAAGCTCCCATATCCTCTCCAGCAAATTCCTGAAAAACAGTTCCTCCTCCTTCCCGCTGAGCAGATGACACAGGCAGGAAGGGCTATTAAGGGCACATTATCGAGCCAGGGGATTTAAACAATTGAGGAAGTCTGTGTCTACTTGAGTAATCTGGGGCTAGCCTGTCAGAGACTTGAGGCTTACTTGCTTTGCCAAAATCTACAGTAAACATCTGTTTAGATATTTTCACATAAATCCTTAGCTAAAACAAAACCAAAGTATATCTGCCTGTCTGGTCAGAGGAAGCCTGAATCATCTATCCTTCCTTCCCTATCTTCTCCTTGTATTGTGCCACATTCCCGAGGGCTAATCGCCACCATAAGCAAAAACAAGTGTTCCACAGTTCGGTTCTGTCCTCATCCACTGCAGCAACCTCCCCTTCAAAGCCGGGAATGCTGGAGACTACACACATACCGGTGAATTCAACTGCGACAACCAGCCTGAGGATCCAGTACCCTTGGGACAGCAGTCTTACAGGAGTCCTGTGTAGCCCTGGAATCCATCCCTTCAGTTCTCACAATCTGACAGTTGGTGACAGATGTCCATGATTGGTTGATGGAGATGGCAACATAGAGCAGAAATGTCTCAGGGCTGAGAATGGAGCTCAGTGACAAGTGCTTGCTAGTGTGTCTGAGTCCAGGGGTTGGTTTGCAGACACACGTTGATTTCTATTATTTTGGTTTTTTTTCAAGACAAAGTTTCTCTGTGTAGCCTTGGCTGTCCTGGTACTCCATTTGTAAACCAGGCTGGCCTTAAACTCACAGAGATCCACCGGCCTCTGCCTACCAACTGCTGGGATTAAAGGCATGTGCCACCTTGCCCAGTAAAATAGAAAACATTTTTTTAAAACCACTATAATTCCACACACTTTTAATCCCAGCACTTGGGAGGCAGAGGCAGGCAAATCTCTGTGAGTTCAAGGCCAGCCTGGTATACAGAGCTAGTTCCAGGACAGCCTCCAAAGCTACACAGAGAAACCCTGTCTTGAAAAAAACAAACAAACAAAAAACAAAAACAAAACAAAAAAAACCCCCACAAAAACAAAAGAACATTGTAATTCTCTTTGATGCTTCCCTATAATTTTGTTGTTGTTTGAGACAGGATTTCTCTTGTGTAGCCTTGGCTGTCCTGGAGCTCACTCTATAGACAGGCTGGATTAATTTTTGGATATACATTAAAAAAAAAAAGCTGGGAGTTGATTGCATTTTTTAAAATTTTTATTCATTTATAGTGATCTATCTACCATGTGGTTGCTAGAAATTGAACTCAGAACCTCTGGAAGAGCAGCCAGTGCTCTTAATCGCCGAGCCAACTCAGATGATTGCATTTTTAAATGTTAAATTTTGGAATAACTTTAGATTTACAGAAAACTTAAATATGGTGAGCATGTGTAAACTCTGCCCAGCTTTCCCAGTACTGACATAAACTGATATATTTATAAAGCCAGGAAACTAGTATCAATACATTAAACACCAGCCTTCATGTAGATTCCCCTCATGTAAACATCTGTTACTGTGCTAGCATACAGTCAGGATTCACGTATTTCTTAGTCCTGTTGGTGAGAGGTTTTGAATCCTAGTTTTATGACCTTGAAAATCCTGAAATTCTGGTCAGGGATCCTAGAGTATCCTGTCTCATGGTTTTAGACTGAGGACTGTAGGTTTTGTAAGCATATCACAGATGAAGCACTCCTTTTAGATTGGCTTTCAACACACTATGGCAGTGGTTCTCAACCATCCTAATGCTGTAACCCTATAATACAGTTCATGAGGTGATCTCACAACTATTATGAATTGTAAATGTCTGTTTTCCGATGGTCCAAGGTAACCCCTATGAAAGGGTCATTTGACCTGCAAGTCACAACCCACAGGTTGAGAACCACTGCACTATGATGTAGTCATCCTCGTGGGTGCTAACCACTGGGCCCCTCTGTCAGGGCAAGGACTCTCAAGCATCAGAGCCATCCACCCAGCTCTCCTCCTCATTACACAAATCAGGCTGTCTCTGAACTTGCCATTCTGCCTTAGCCTCCCAAGTGTGCACCACCACACCTGTCTTCTTGGTCTAACATCTACATGCATTACTTGTGATGACAACTGTCTGCAGGTTTCTCCACTCTAAGTTTACAGTGGATGGTGGTGGCACATGCCTTAAATCCCAGCACTCAGGAGGCAGAGGCAGGGGGATCTCTGCAGGTTCTAGGACAGCCAGGACTACACAGAAAAACAAAGTCAAAAAGAAAAAAGGAGTAAACAAGTCTAGTTCATTTTTAAGGGTTATGATGGGGAAAGAGGTAAGGGCAGAATTCCCTCTACATCTGTGGAGTTTGCTGGTGCACACCTTTGTGAGACAGCTTGTTGAGAAGCCAGTGTGCTCTTCATAGAGAGTTCTAGGACTGCCAGGGATATACACTCTTTTTTACAAAAAGCAAAGTCCACTTCCACATAATATGCTGGCTTGAGGAATATTTTATGAACATGAATCTCAAGTAGGCTGACATCTCTCATCTAGAACAACCTGAGCTGAGCAGAGGCAGCCAAGGATACTTGAGCTTTCCAAGTCTGACCTCTAACCCACAGGCTGTGTTACTGAATATGTTCCCTCCTGTAGGGATTAAACAGCAGTTAGCCAAGAAGAGCCACGAGTTAGACTTGTCCTTTTCTCTTGCCTCAGGCAAGCAATGCCCATGACCATCTCTTCATGGAGTTCCATTTGACAGAAGTGGCTAGGTGTGTTGAGAGATTGCCAGAGGATGGTGTGCATGCTACTGAGAAGTGATATGCTACCTCTGCCACATATGCCAGTCAAGTAAGTACCACTGAGCCAAATCCCAAGACTAAAATAGCTGTTAAAATAATTGAATGATACTGAGTCATCTTTCCTACCACTGTTTTTTTTTTTTTTTTTTTTCCTGTGCTGACTTCAGGAGGGCAATGACCTGGTCCCTCCTCTGTCTTGGCTCAGCACAGTGAGATGGTATGGTTCAGGTGACATGGTAGATAGGTAAACCTGTACTGACCTCCCCTAACCACCCTCTCAGCAAGGTCCACATGTCTGTGGAGGTTACATTAGGTTCTGAAGGAGACAGCCTGGAATCTTACCAGAAACTGACTCAAGCAGATCTGCAGAGGCATCACTCTAGGTAGAGTAGGGTAGGGCTAGGGAGTGAAGGGAGGTAAATCAGGGCATGAGCAAAGCATGGACACAGGAAACGGATCCCTGTGTGCACAGTGTGTGAAGAGAGCAGAGGACACAGTTAACAGAGGGCCCAAGCCAAGCCTGGCTCTTCTGAAGCAAGCTTACCTGTGGTGACAAACCCACCCTGGGAATCTGTATAAAAGACTTCAAGGAGGAAGAGCAGAGGCACAACCTACCAAGGGTATTGCATATATTGAACACCAATCAGAAACACACTTTAAAATGTCAAGTCAAAAATACTCCAAACATTTCAAAATAACGAATATTAATGCCCAGACTCTGCTCAAAATGGGATTCAGCAGGTATTAATGCAGCAATTCAGGCTCTGCCACTGTGGCTGCTGAAAAATCAACTCTCCCTACTCTATTTGGTATTTAAAAGAGGTCATCAAGTTGTAGTCCTCTTCCAAGTCCAGAACAGTCTCAACAATATTCTGGTCATCAAAAGCCTGCTTGAGGCTACTGGGGTCAGCATCCAAAGCCTTCCGAGGGCTCTCGTCCACAAGCAGGGCCCAGGCCTCCTCCTTCAGGGGTGAATCTTGGCAACGTCCACATACACGGTTCAATTCATTTTCAAATTCTAGTTTTCCAGCCAGTTCTTCAATAGTTCGGATACTTGTGTGGTCTTAAAACAACAACAGAAGGACATTCAGTTTTATAGTTTTACTTACAATGTTTCTGAGAACATTTCAGACACAAGTTAAAAACCACAAAACTGATAAAACTCATGAAAGAACCTTTGTCTAGCTTGATACCTACTACCACAAGCTAGCAAGCAAATAGACACACAAACCATAAATGGATAGGCATTCCAAAGCCAATGCAGAACTAGGCATTCCAACCCCAGCACACACAAGTGAGCATCAGCATAAGGTGGGGCTGACACCTTCTTTTTATACCCCAGAATTCATCCAGCCACAATTATCTATCCATTCCCAAGAAAGGTATGAATAAAATATACATGCTTGTTCCGGCATCCATATAACTCCCTGACCTGTGGGGGTGACAAGATGGTATGAAAAGCAAGGTCTTTAGGGTAATCGGAATGCTGATTGGTGCTGGAAAAGATAGGCAGAAGTATCGATGACTTCAGTTTATATCCTGGGGCTATCAGAGGACAGTCAGTCCTCCAAAGTTACAGAGAGGTCCCTCCTTATACCTCCCTTTCTAACCTGGTGATTCTTCCATGTTAACAGTTTCTGGCAATGCCTGAGGCTATGTATCTCTTAATCAGGAGCTGCTGGTCCACTGTGCAATATGAGTCATTCAGAAATAGGACACACAGTACAGAGAACATACAGATATAGAATGTATGCAGGATAAACGTCTGAGTGCTGGGTGGGGTGGTACACACTTATCCTAGGACTCAGAAGAGTCAAGCAGGAAAATTACAAATTCCAGGTCATTCTGGCCTGACCAGTCAGAGGCTGAAAAAGAAAAGCTTAGCTGCTTAGCCTGGCAATAGGGGTATCACACACCTTTAGTCTCAACACTCAAGAGGCAGAGACAGGCAGATCTCTATGAGTTTGAGGCCAGCCTGGTCTACAAATCAAGTGCCAGGATGCAATACAGAGGAACCCTGTCTGGAAAAACCAAACCAAACCAAACCAAACAAAAAACAAAAAGGGGGGGGGTTACTGATTATTTCACTGTTCTGAAACTAAATTTACCAAATAAGATGTGTGGACACCTGGCCTATGTGAAAGACCAAGGAAAGAATGGCCCAGCTCTCTACTTACCGATCATATCTAGCAGATCCTTTGTGACCTCTTGGCTAGAACTGCTGAGCAGCATATTTGAGTCAACTTTTATGTCTCTCTCCATATCCTTCCTGCAGTCCCAATTGGGGTGAGGGAAGAAGATAGGGATTAGATATTCTTTCAGGAAAATATGGAAAAACTTCTGACAGTCCAAAACACAATTGTTTATGTATACAGTGTTCTACCTGCATGTTTATCTACATGCCAAAAGGGTATCAGGTATCATTATAGATGGCTATGAGCCACCATGGTGGCTGGGAATTGAACTCAGGACCTCTGGAAGAGCAACCAGAGTGCTCTTAAATCTCTGAGCCATCTCTCTAGACCCTGTTGTTTTAAAATAGTCTCACTACATAGCCCTGGCTAGCCTGGAACTAACTGTGTAACCCAGGGAGGCCACAAATTCAGAGATCTCTCTGCTTTTGCCTCTTGAGTGCTTGGGATTCAAGACATGCCACCATGAGCAGCTTAGACTAAAATTTACCTTTTATGCTATCAGACTAATCAGAAAATAAATCAGTGAAGAAACCAATAGCAACATCATAATAACACATTCCACTACAAGATGTTAATGTTTATGAAACCAACAAATATTTGCAGTTAAATGGCTTCTCAATTCCTTGACTTTGGGATAGGCAAGATGGCCACAGTCATCCCTGCTCTAAGTCAAGGTGCCTGGGAAGAGGCAGTTTGTAGCCACTTAGTGGGCCAAAAGGAGATAGTAGAGTTGTTTGCTTTTGTTTTCATTTTTCAAGACAGAATTTCTCTGTATAGCCCTGGCTGTCCTGGAACTCACTCTGTAGACCAGGCTGGCCTTGAATTCAGAGATCAGCCTGCCTCTGCCTCTGGGATTAAAGGCATGCGACACCACTGCCAACTGAAACAAAAACAACGCCAGGAAGTAGGGTGTAGCCATGGATCTAAGTGTGGACAAAGGAAGGTAAAGGCTCTGGCTCTGAACACAAAAGCTGGTATGGGTTACGTTTGTTTCTACATCAGATCACTCAGGACTGGTACTTTATGCCTCTAATCCCTGTACTTGGGACTTGAGTTCTAAGTGACCCTCAGCTACACAGGAGTTGAAAGCCAGATGGTCAACATTAAACTGTCTTTAAAAAAGCAAAAATAGGCTGGCAATACAAATGGATAAGCCTGTGGCGACTTGAGTTGGATCCCTGAAACCACAGTGGAATCAACTCCTGAAGGTTTTGTTTTCCTTTGACTACACTCAAAGCCACATATACACACTAATAAAAATTTTAAAAATTAGAAAAAAATCATCGGCTAGAAATGGCTTTTGGTTTTTTTTTTTTTTTTTTTCCCTCCCCCCAAGACAGGTTTTCTGTGTGTATAGTCCTGGCTGTCCTGGAACTCACAGAGATCCAACCTGCCTTCCTCCCTAGTGCTGGGATCAAAGGCACTAAAGCCACCAGGCCCCAGCTGAGAAGGATCAGTTAAGAGCACTGGCTGGATTTCCAGATACACAGCTCCTGCATGACGACGTTAGTTCCAGGGGATACAAGGCCACAGTCTTCTGGCCTTTGCTGGCACCTGGGGAAGGCATGTGGTGCACAGCCATGCTTGCAGGCAAAATAGCCACACATACAAAATACGAATTAGGAAAACCCTTAAGGTGTAAGAAAAACATTGCTAAGGCTTGTAGTTCAGTGGTAGAATGTCTGCCCTAGAATGCACGAGGCCTTGGTTGAATCCTCAACACCACCCACAAATTTAACAGTAATTTTCTTAACACTGATTACCCTTTTGGGTACCATAGTTTCTGTGACTGTTTGGATATCTAGAGATTTCAACCATTCAACACAAAACACAATAAAACTGTTGAGCCAGATTCTGAAAAACATGTATGAATTTTTTGTAGATTCTTAGCACTCCCAAGAAAAGGTTAGCTTAGTAATGAATCAAATCTGGGCTCTTCTATTTTTTTTTTTTTAAGATACAATTTTCCCTAATTGATGCTATTTTCAAATAAGAATCACCTTAAACTTTCTTTTCTCCAGTTTTCCCCATCTCCTGCAGCTCTCCAAAACTGTCTTTCCCGTGCCAAAATGGAAGAGTGCATCAACACATTTTCCTTGCTGGTCAGAGGTTTTCTTTTGGGGTATAAAGGTAGGGGTTTTGCATTAACTGGGACATGGTGTGGCACAAAGACAGGATTCTCATTCTCGGGAGCACATGAAGCACCAGCGCAGGGGACAGCAGAGGGGCAGGCTGCCAGTGGGTTTCTGCACAGCAGCCTGTGCACCGGCATAGAGGCTAGCGACGGAGCGTCCAGCCTCTGCGGACCCGTGCATTCTTGGGAATGCCTGACTCCTTCAAAGGCTCGGTCTATGGCTGCAGTCAACTCCTTTCTGCATCTTCGTAGTTTCTCAGACATTTTCCTGAAAGCGACCATGCCTTTTATTATGTAATAAACGGAAAGGCACAGAACAAAGCGACAATGATGCTATACAAAAGGCTGAGATTCAACCCAGGTTTCGAGTTTGATCTACGCTTACACCACATCATCCTTCCTTTGCCTCGAGAGGGGATTATTACCCGCCATTCTCAGGACTCCAGATAGCAGGGAAGGGCCTGAAACCCACCTCACCCTCCAGAGCTTCCTTAGGGGGTCACCGGCTAAGCCTTTCCCGCCGCCCCCTACTGCGCCCAGCTGTTGTGGGAGTCCCCAAACTATGGCCAATGGAGGCCGGAACAGGCCCCCCGCTGTGTCCTCACCCAGCCGTGGCCGCACAGCAGTGCCCAACGGTCACTGCGCTCACGTGCCACTCTCAACTCGCGAACTAGGTTAAAGGTCGGTCGAGAGTCACATGACCAATGAGGGGCAACAAAGACTCAGAAAGGTGGGCTGTTAGCATGCAGGAGTAAGGGGGAGTGGTAACAGCGCGATAAGGGAGAGAATCGGGTCTGAAGGGATCTACTAATAAAAAAATGTGGTTTTTTTGGGGGGAGGCGCGGTAAGGGGCGGGGTTGTTTCAGGGGCTGGGTCTTTCTGTGTAGTCCCGGCTGTCTTGGAACTCGCTCTGTAGATCACGCTCGTCTCAAACTCAGAGATCTGCCTGCCTCTGCCTCCCGGGTGCTGGAATTAAAGGCGTACAACACCACCGCCCGGCCCCAAAAAATATTTTCTTAAACCTCATTAGTTAACTAGAGTGTTTTGAAGACCTGACAAACACCCATCGTGTTCTTTGAAGCCAGCGGAAAAACAATGCCACACACTGCACCCAGTTTTATGAATGAACTTATTTTTAAGGGAGAGGTAATGAAAGTCCCACATAAAATCAGACTGATTATCAAGGGGAGTGGAATTAACAGAACGTCAAGGTTCCATGAGAAACTGAACACAAGACCCCCAGTAACAGGAAATTCTGAGAAGGGAAGAGAAGTGAGTTCCAGTGGTGTTTAGAAAACTATAAACCTATCCCAGTGAACAGCAAAGAACTCAAGGGCAACATCAAGTTTACTGAGGCTTGGTTTACTGTGGCCAGACTACTGGGGTGACCAGTATGGGCACCAGAACCCCAAACCCAGTTCAGAGCAGCCCTGCATGGGTCTTCATGGCTGCACCATACTCAATTACAGGGTGTTGCTCTCCACGCTTTGGAATCCATGAGACACTGTGTAACAATCCCACCCCACATTTCAGCTCCACGGGTTTTATCTCACCACCCGTTTGAAAGAAAAAATAATTCAGCCTCTCAACATAACCCTTCTGAGAAAGCAGGGTCTTTTTTTTCCTCTTCTCATAAAAGAAGGTAATTTCCTCATCTGGTTTTTAGATTGACATGAGCAGTCTTCAAGAGTGCCAGAGACATTCTCCTGGGGTGGCACTGTGGGGTGGCGGGGTTGCTGAGTCAGCATCAGTTGGTGTCCATGCTGGAAGCCTCATCATCCCCCAGGCCCTGCTGTGAGCTGCCCAGCCTCATCCCTCCATCAGAAGAGCCAGGAAAACTGGTGAGAGAAGGTGGACTGTGACATTCATCATCCCGACGCTGATAAAATAACACGTAGGCAGCTTTCGTCTAAAACACAAGGAAGGGGGGAGAACCCATTTACTGTTAACAAACTCACCCCCCGTCCTTGTTACTTTATGCTATAAACTCATCATGGTAGCTCTTGCCTATAATCCCAGCAAGTGGAGGAAGAGCCCGAGAGAGGAGAAATTTTTTCCAAGTTCAAAGCCAGCCTGGGCTTCAGAGTGAAACTGTGTGAAAAAAAATCTTAAACAGGATGTGGTGACACGCACCAGAAATGTAAGCACTCAGGAAGCAGAGGCAGGAGCATTACCTTAAGTTTGAGACTAGCCCGACACACAAAGAGAGTGTAGACAGTCAGAGGTATGTAGGAAGACAAGGACTCTGAATGGACAAGAGTGAAGGAATGAACAAGCGTCATCAGCGATTTGCACATCCACACTTGGGAGCAGCCGTGAAGGCCCTTTACTAGCCGCCTCCCGACATTGCTGCCATGGCTATGGGGAAATGAAGGTTTACTATGATGATACTAGGAAAATTGAGTTTCTCCATTAGGAAAGAATTAGAATGAATGGCAGCCCACTCTACTCCACCCAGATAATGAAGTAACCATCTGGCCTCAGAGGACCTCTTTTGGCTTTTATTTAAGGTAACAGGGGGGAGTATATATCTGGGCAGGGTACTCACCACTATCTGATCCTCAGAAGCCAGAGACACATTGCTATCATCAAAGTAATACCATTTCCCATTCAGTTTGTTCTTCGCATATGCAGTATCTGCCAATTACAAACAAAATGCTCTAATGGCCACCCAAAAGAATCTGGTGATTTTATCAGGCTAGCACTATACGAGCACATGCTCACAGGAAAAAGTATTAACACTAAAATTAAGAATAATGTATAGCCAGTGTGAATGCACCCAGGAAGAAGACAGGAGTACTGTCCCCAGTACAAGGCCAACCTGGCCAAGTCTAGGCAGGGTTGTAAAGTAAGACCATGTCTCAAACAGAAAAACTTCCACCACCAAATTATATTAAAAACTAATATACATAATAAGTAACGATAATTTTGTTTGTTTTCCGTGTAGCCCTGGCTGGCCAGAAACTCACTCTGTAGACCAGGTAGGCCTCAAACTCAAATATTCACCCACCTCTGCCTCTTCAGCACTGGGATTAAAGGTATGCACCACCACACTCGACTTTTGTCTATTTTTAATAAAAATCTATCATTTAATCACATGGAGGTTGGTGGGTATGCAAGTGCCCACAGAGGCCATAAGGTGCTGGGAACCCTAGAGCTGAAGTTACAGGCAGCTGTGAGCCACCTGACATGGTGCTGGGAACTGAACTCACGTCCTCTGGAAGAACAGAGCTCTCCAGTATGGAGCCATCTCTAGCTGCCCCAGTGTCTATTTAATAGTCTGATTGGTGCTGGAGACAGCGTGAGGATAGGGCACTTGCCTGAGATTTTCATCAGTGCCCAAATAAGCAAAAATGGCCATGAGTGTAACCAGAGCCACAGAGGAGCTCGAGAAGGAGCCGGTGCTTCTAAGGCTAAAGCCAAACAAGAGCAGGTGGCCAGCATCTTCAGCACAATGCACTGCTGAAGTAGAGGACTTTGGTTGGAAACAGTGACCACAGAATTTGCAGAGCTGGGAGGTGAACAAGAAGCTGTACAACTCTCTTGTCTACAGCTATGACTGAGAATCTGTGGTGGCCAGACTATTTAGAGCACAAGGCTCTAAATTCCATCCCCAGCACTGGGGGAAGGCAGTGCCCCCCCTACTTCAAAACTGGCTCATCTATAACTAGAACACAGCTGGAAGGTGAGGCAGGAGGATTACTGTAAGTATTCTGACACACAGAGATCTTGTCCAAACAAAAAAACTTTCCACTAAAGTGAACCTAAATGTTATAGAAATTCTGGAAAATAGGCCAAAAACAAACAATTACTATTTTTTTGCTGGATATGGCAGGGTATACCCATCATCATAACAGGCCGTCAAGGGCTACCTGGCAAATGATAAATCAGCCTGGGCTACATAGTAAGATCCTGTCTCTAAACCAAAAATGAACTGATTTTTGGCGCCTCTCATTCTATGGCTCTGTACCATTGTATTTTCTCTGCTTTTTGATTTTACAGAGCTGAGATACTACTTCTGTATTGACACGAATTTTATGTAGCTGTTTTCAGTTATAAGGAAGACTACACCATGGTGTTTTTTTTTTTTTTAAAGAGTTATTTATTGTGTTTACAATGCTCTGCTTACATGTCTGCTTCAACACCAGAAGAGGGCACCAGACCCGATTACAGATGGCTGTGAGCCACCATGTGGTTGCTGGGAATTGAACTCAGGACCTTTGGAAGAGTAACCAGTGCTCTTAACCTCTGAGCTATCTCTCCAGCCCCACCATGGTGTTTTGAAACAGATAAGAACTCTCTGCTCCAGCTGGAGAGATGGCTCAGTGGTTAAGAGCATTCTAGCTGTTCTTCCAAACAACCTGGGTTCAATTCCCAGCACCCACATGGCAACTCACAACTGTCTCTAACTCTGGTTCCAGGTGATCTGACACCTTCACACCAATGCATATAAAATAAAGGTAAATGAATTATTAAAAAAACAAAAACCTATCTGCCAAAGCCCGACCAGCAGTATCAGCTGTGCTCCCAAATGCTGTTACTAACACCACTGTTAAAAACAGGTGGCACAAGCTACTTGTTGGTGTTGCACACCTTTAGTCCCAGCACTATGGAGGCAGAGGCAAGTGGATCTCTGTGAGTTCGAGGCCAGCCTGGTCTACAGAGCTAGTTCCAGTACAGGCTCCAAAGCAATACATAGAAACCCTGTCTCAAAAAAACAAACAAACAAACAAACAAAAAACCAAAAAACAGGTGGTACATGCCTTTAATCCCAGCACTCAGGGTAGAGACAAAGTGGATCTCTGAGTTTGAGACCAGCCTGGTCTACAGAGCGAGTTCCAGGACTATTACACAGAGAAACCATTTCTCAAAAATACAAAAACAAAACAGGCTGAAGGAGATGGCTGTGGTGACCCCCACCTTTAAACCCAGTACTTGGGAGGCAGAGGCAGGCACATTTCTGAGTTTGAGGCCAGCCTGGTCTATAAAGCTAGTTCCAGGACAGCCAGGTCTACACAAAGAAACCCTGGTTGAAAAATCGAAACAAAGAGGTGAATGTTTTCATGCATAAAGTTGTCATGTCACTGTCTTAGGAGATTCCCTGAGTTAACCCAGCATGGTGGTTCATGCCTGTAAATCCCCTACTTGAGAAGCTAAGTAAGGTAGGATTGCCAGGAGTCCCAGATTACCCTGGACAGACTACACGATGTGCTGCAGACCAGTATGAACTAATCAGTGTCTGGAGAAAAACAAAACAACTAACAAAGCACTACTGAATTAAAGACTATGAAACTTTAGAAAGGGCGGGGTGGGGAGGGCAGAGGGACTGAGAAAGCCCACAGCCAGAGACTATCAACAAGTCAGGATTCATGGCCGTTCCTGGCGCCCAGGGAGAGGCCGGAAGAACACCACCTAGGGCATTTCCACACCTCAGCAGGAATACTTAC